CTCATTCCAGCGCAGCATCGCGCCGCTGCCCCGCGCGGGATGCGGCGGCCCGCGCTTTGCCGGCGGGCTGGTCCGGCTCAGCCGCGCCACCGCGGGACCCGCGCTCGACCCGCAGGGGTGCGGCGCGTGCGGGGCCCGCGGGGAGGGGGAGGGGCTTCCCGGCCGCAGCGCCACACGCGGGACAGCCAGGCGGTCGTGACACAGGCTCACTCGCCCAGTCGGGGGACACGGGACACTGTAAGGCACTTTCCCCGGTGTCTAAGAGCAACCGCTGCGTGTGCACAGCCGAGTCCCTGAAACTGGGACCCCTGGGCTCCCGCATTCGGGCACAGACCCCAAGGTACTGATGCCCACCCTAGGGGGTGGGAAAAGTTGATCCTGTGCGAGTGAGGAGAAGGTGCAGTTCATTTTCCCAGACAACCAATGGAATACCTCTCGCGTCTCTTCCCTCCCACCTGCTCACAGCAGAAGTTAGGATGGCGCCTTCCATCCCGGCCTGTGTGCACACGCCAGCGTGGAAGGGGTCTGTGGGCAGAGGTCCAAGCAAGGCAATCCTGCACCACGCTCCAAGGCACCGCAGACCTCTCCCTGGCGTATCAAGCGCAGAGTGCCTGCGTAGAGACAGGACTGCAGCCTCTGACGGTGCACCCTTCACACTCTACAAAGAGCCCATCATCGTTCTGATTAGCTGGGCCACACCCGAAGGGGGCCAGACAGGCGTTAACCTTGAGCACACAGGGAGAATCTTGAATTCCATAGACACAGCAGTGTCCCTGCCTGGGTAAGGGTGTAGGTAGTGGCCTTGCCTCACCACTTTTCAAAACCACTTCATAAGGCACAAAATAAAACTCTGGAGTACCCTTGAGAGGAGGACAGACAGCAACAGTGGCTGGGAGGAAGGCTCTGGGCCTCAAAGAGATAGGTTGTGCAGGTGGGCAGGAAGACCCAGGCTTCCCAGGTGGCAAGAGGAGTGAGCCACAGGGCCGGGCAGAGAATGTGACTCCAGGGCAGCTGGGCAGCTGAGTATGGTCGGGGACACAGCTGTCCAGATAGTTGTGGTCTGGCTGTCATAGCAGGACTCATGCACCTCAGTGACACGCTTGGCCTCTACTATTCTTGAGAAGTCCTTTCAATACATAGACAAAGTTTTCTTGGACGGCTTAGACAACATTTACCCACTTGATTTTGGAGATGTGCCACTGTACAGAGATCCTGAGCCAAGTCAACTCACGGGTCGGGTCCAGGGAGGGCAGACTTATAAACAGCCCTTCAGTCTTATTCCTAGCTTTCCCTTTGCCTTTGTGATCTTCTGTGAGTGTTCCAAACTCTGGCTGCCTTCCTTGTGTCTAGGAGTTGCCTCCAGAAGGATTCACTGCAGCTATAACCATAAGGTGCAAGGAGATAGAAGCTAGATTGGTGGTAAGGAAGGGGTCTTGGACATCTCTAGTTTTTAGATACTCAAGCATCCTTAGACATCAGACATGTCTCTTTAAATGCTTGCCCAGTCCTAGGGAATGGATTCAGACATGGTCATCCTGACAAGGTATGGCTAAGTCTTCTAGGTCTACAAGTCCAGATACCCTGAGCTTTCTGATACCTTATGGCCTTACATCCTCCAGGCCTGTTTCCCCATTATAACTAGGAGGGTGATAATAAAATCTCCCCCAAGGGACCATTTGAGAGTTACATCTATATGGAAAATACTGCCATAATGCCGGAGGAGCAGAAGTATCAGTGAATGTTGTTTATTATTCAGCCCATTAACCACCAACATCTCTCTGTGGTGGGGAGCATACTGCAGAGTTAGGTTCTAGGGTCCCTTCTCTTACTGCCCCTACATGCAGATGGAGCTAGAGTAACTGGTTGTAATTTAGGGATCTCTGGATGGATACCAAGGAACCAGAGGTCACTTAAAACGTTGATGCCTTTAGAGATAAAAATGATAATTTTTATGCCGGTCACTTTGCTTATGAATTAATAACATGTATTGCTGTTTCTCAAAATGTTAAGAGTATTAGCACTTAATGTGTTCAGGAATAATCACTGGATTGCCAGTTCTTTGGTTTGCAAGATTTTTGTGGAAAGAATCAACACCACCTGTGGAATTAGCCTCAGGCTCTTTGTTCAGAGTTTAGTCCTGTAAGGACTCAGCTGGGGACTTTGTTCTCACAAGGATTGGAAGACACTTTGAGGGAAAGTGAATTTTACAGAGTAAAAGGGTGTTTGGGATACTGTGATTCAGGTAACAAGTCATTAGTTTTCTGAAGTTGCCTAACCTTTCCCAGCTCCAGGCTCCTGTCACTGGTAGACCTCCTCCACAGGGGTGTTGATACTTAGGTGAAACTTGATGAAATAAGTCAAGCTTTTTCATTTTAAAAGTTGTGTCCGTCTGTCCATATTTCCTTTCCTTCCTTCCTTCCTTCCTTCCTTCCTTCCTTCCTTCCTTCCTTCCTTCCTTCCATCCTTCTGTTCTTTCCTATAGACAGGTTGCATGTATCCCAGGATAGCCTCAAACTCATCATGTAACAGAAGATGACACTGAATTCCTCATTCTCCTGCCTCCACCTCTCCCAGGATCACAGGTATGTTACCATGTTCCCTATGCCATTGTTCAGGCAGTAGAGTTTTCTTCAGTTTTAAAGAACCTGCTAAAACATCAGTCTAATGGTGTTTGCTTTCCCCCAGGCATTGGGAAACAACAACATTTTTTTTTTAAACAATGGGAAAAGAATTTTTTGATAGATAATTTTTGTATCAAGTTAGCTCAAGAGAACTTTGCTAATCTATCCGAGAAGGAACAGAGCAAGATGCAGGAACTGAGGAGTTGTGTGAAACTGGTGTAACAACGCCCAATCCTTTGGTTTCTTTTTCCCAGTTTTCATGACTTCCAGCTTCTGCTTCTTCATCTTTGAACACCAGTGGTGGCTGCTGGGCCGTGTGACGTCAGTCCTGGATCCTGGGTTTGGGTTCCCATCCTGGCTTCCTTCCTTTTAGTCATAGACCACAGGCTACCTCCTACTGCTGAAGTGAAGGAACAGTGGACCAAGGGGTCAGGTGACGATCCCCTTGGCAGTGGCTGGCTAGCAGGCCCCAGGAGCCTAGCAGAAGCCCCTTGGCAACCAGGCAAAAGTCCTGTCCTCTGCTTCAGAACGCAGAGATCCACATCCCAGACTCATTAGCACTCGCTTCCCATCAAAGGAATGCCATAGCTCACAATCACCTTCCATGCCTTCTCAGAAATCTCTTCACCTTATTATTTTTGGATACATTAGAGATGGTCCTCAGTTATTCAAAAATATTTTTTTAAAAAAAATCAGTATTATTTGTTTAGGTTGAAAGTTAAACTTCTTTAGAAATAGTGATTTGGGAACAACTGGTTTATATAAAAAGTTTTCTGATGAAAAGTTCTGAAAATGTTTTGAGTGAGTACAGATAAGTAGATATTCCTCTGACCCGAGAAAGCCAGACACCAACCAGGCTTGTGGGAAACTGTTGACTTTACTAGACAAGAAAGATTTGGAATGCTAATTTTGAAAGTACAAAATTCAAGTTATTCATAAAGTATTTATTTTAGCCAGTGCTTGATACTCCAGGTATCATACAAAGCCATAGGATATGGTCTTGTTCCTTATAGGACTCAGAATCTAGTGCAGCAGAAGAACAATTAGATAACTTCATTTCAGCTCAAAATGTGTCCTGTTAAAATTCTCTTAGAACACAAAGAGTGGAACTCAGTAGTTACTAGAGCCTGAGAAGCTTCATGGGTACAGAGAGGGGGAGGGGTAGAGGGCACAGAGCCAAAGGAGGTGCTTTCTTCTCCTCAGCTAGGCACGGCCCCTTAAAAAGTCCCCTCTCAAACAACAAAACAAAACAGAACAAAACCAACTAAACCAAATAAAAAAACAACAAAACCTACCCCAGAATTATAGTAGGTTGTGATGTCCTCTCTGAGCCTGACTCAGCTCTCTGATGGAGGTCCCAGGCCTGACACCCATCGCAGAAGCAGCAGTGCCATCCCATTTTACATAACTTTGAGGTCAGAGAGGACCACTCCCCTGGGGTTGAGAAAAAGCAGAGACCTTCAGCTGAGTGACAGAAGCCTGAGCAAGCTATTTGAGTGATCTATAGGTACTTGGTTTCTCCACACCTTAGTTCAGCTTTGTAAAATAGGAAATATAGCCAGGTGATGGTGGCGCTTGCCTTTAATCCCTGCACTGGTGAAGCAGAGACAGGCAGATCTCTGAGTTCAAGGACAGCCTGGTCTATAGAGTGAGTTCCAGGACAGCCAAGGCTACACAGAGAAACACTGTCTAGAAAAACCAAAATGAAATAAAGTATAAATAAACAAACAAATAAATAAATAAATAAATGAAAGAAAAAAGAAAGAAAGAAAGAAAGAAAGAAGGAGAGAGAGAGAAAGAGGAAGGAAGGAAGGAAGGAAGAAAAGAAGAAAGGAAGAAAGGAAGAAAGGAAGGAACATAACCATCATGGTAGCAATAGCAACAATACCTTGCTCAGAAATGTTTTGGGATCTAGATGAGTTGACACAACCTAACTTTCCTACAGTGGCCTCTAAGCATGTGTAAGTGTTTAATATTTTTTAGAATGTAGTTTTTTAAGGCATTGGAATACAAATCTTGTCAATGTTTTCAACCACATGCCTTCTTCTCTTTCTCTTTCCATTTACCTTTCAATGCAGGATGCCCCTTCCTGTGGTCCCTTCCTGTCTGTCCCTCCCTGTCCAAAACCCTTCCACCTGCCTCTTCCTTTGTGGACCTCACACTTCCCCTGCTTGGAGGAGCCTCTGAAGATTCTTAAGATGTCAGCCTACCAGACAGAAGGTAAAGCAAGTAGACTGTCTGGAAGATGCTTCTATGTTCTTCATTGGGCCTAACCTAGACTAAGTTGTAAGCATAGCATACAACTTCTTTTTTTCTTTTCCTGAGAAGAGCTGGAAAAAAATATGTCATGGGGGCCCAGTGTGACTTGTCTCAAGGGTAGCAAAAAAAAAAACCTTATTTATTTAGTTATTTTAAAGCCCCCTCTCCTAAAACCTTATACAAGCCTTTCAGTTTATTTCAGTGATTGAAATATTTCTCTTATGTCATTGGCAACTGAGCCTTCTGCCCAAAACATTGACACTACTCAGATGAGGTCTTACCAGGGTTCCTCTTAGTGGTCAGTGACTTGAAGGCCTCTCCAGTGTCAGAGTTCAATATATTCTCTGAGCTGTTGATAATATTATTTGCATGTATGCTTCGGTCTGCCTTCTAAAGTCCAGCTTGATATAGTTTTACTGTCCCTTAACACCGTCTCCTGGAGTCTAATGTGCATATCATATTTTCTGTATTCCAGATGGATCCCTTCCCACTCTTCTCGTCAAGTCTTGCCTTCCTTGTCTCAATGAATAGCACTCAGACATGGCTTAGTCATTTCTCAACTATTCTCTTTTCTCTGGTATCCAATCTCCCAGAAGTTCCACTTGGCTCTGCCTACAGCAGGGATTTGCAGCCCTATTTTTTATCTTCCCTGTGGTCATGCTGATCACTTCTATCCTGCTCCTCACAGAGAGTAACGATGCCCAGGAAGATGTTGTGCAAGGTT